AACGTACTTAACACACATAATATAAAACCTATATTAAGTTACCCAAGCTAGATCTTGATCTACAATAAGCTCGACTTGGTACACTTGCGGATGAAGCTGAACTTGGATCTTGAACTAGAATTGCATAAGCTTCACCGACATTCCGCCAACCTCCTTTGGATATGATCGTTGAAGCTCTATTCCATCCATCCTCCAACACTTTATTTGCCTAGAATAAATACGAAAACACAAACACTAGACAAACAACATTAGTTGTAAATTGTTTGTTAAACATCATCAAAACAAGAAGGCCAACAAAACATATTGTTTCACTAGAACGTGGTTGAATCCTCTTGATTGATGTCGATGATAACTTGCGTGGCAAGTTTGAAAATAACTCTTAACGAGTTTAAGAACTCAAAGCGAGTTTAAACTCTGTAACAGAGTTGATTTGAACCGAAAATCGATTAATAGCCAAGGATGAAAACTCCTTGTTGTTTAACGTCGCCGAAGGATGAACACTGATCTCCCCCTTTGCGATTTTATGCCAGAAGCCTCTCAATGGTCTCCGATCTTGATCTGTCCAAAAAAGATCGACGGTCTCTCCTTTTGCTATCTTTTTAATGTAAAAAGCCAATCCCTGAACTCAATTGAGTTTCTGGTATTTATAGGGGATTAATGGATATAACCGCCCCCTTAATTCGCTCCTAAGTGGGGTTGTAATCCCCTCAAATCGTGGGAAACGGTTTTGGAATTGTTCAGCTCGTGTTTGAACGAGTCAAACACCGAAAATAGCGTTCTGGGCCCGAACTCTGCGTTTTAGAACTGAAACGCAGAGTTGGGCATGTTTTGTCGGCTGAGAATGCTCAGGTAGCTCTGCATTTTGAGTCTGAGACATATGAATAAACTCTGTGTTTGGATCTGGAACGCAGAGTTGGGTTCTGCGTTTTGGGCTGAAAACGAAGCAATGAAGTTTGGTTTGGATGTTGCAACGCAGGGAGGACCTCTGCGTTTTGATGTTGCAACATAGGGAGGACCTCTGCGTTTTTGATGTTGCAACGCAGGTCTGACCTCTGCATTTTGATGTGAAGAGACCACCAATTTGTGGTATATTTTGCTAGAGCATTGCAAAGATCATCATCTTGTAATCTTCTTCTTGGCTCCTTAAAAATATGAGAGTCATCAGATTGTAACTCCCGATATTGATTGTGAAGGCTATTGATTAGAGCTTTTATTAGTTGTTGCAAAGGTCGTCAGATTATAACATTCATCGATCTACGTGAAAGTCTTCAAATTGTAGCCTTCTGGAAGCCGTCAAATTATAACTTTCATCATTGATGTTTGATGGGGGATCATCTATCTACAGTGATTTTTAGACAACCTACAGTCTAATTTAACATGTTCTAAGTCTAATTTTATGTTAAGTCTAATTTGATTCATATTAAGTCTAGTATGATTCATGTTAAGTCTAATTTTATTCCTTTTAAGTCTAATTTAAATCACGTTATGTCTAATTCAACTTATTTTAAGTCTAAAAATAAGTTGAATTAGACTTAACATGAATCACGTTAGTCTATGTCAACTTATTTTAAGTCTAATTTCATGTTAAGTCAAATTTTACTTCATATTAAGGCTAATTTGCATTCCTGTTAAATCTAATTTAATTCCTTTTAAGTCTAATTTTAATCCAGTTTAGTGTTAAGTCCAATTTAGTTCATGTTAAGTCTAGTTTGGTTCATGTTAAGTACAGTGTGATTCGTGTTAAATCCAGTTTGGTCTGTGTTAAGTCTAGTTTGGTTCGTGTTAAGTCCAGTTTAAATTATTTTAAGTCTAATTTGAATTATTTTAAGTCTAATTTAAATCTTGTTAAGTCTAATTTAAATTATTTAAAGTCTAACTTAAATTGGACTTAACATGAAATTAGACTTAAAATAAAATAAAATAGACTTAACATGGATTATATGTTAAGTCTAATTTGGTTCATGTTAAATCTAATTCGGTTCATGTTAAGTCTAATTTAAATCATGTTAAGTCCAATTCGGTTCATGTTAAGTCCAATTCGGTTTATATTAAGTCCAATTTAAATCATGTTAAGTCTAATTCAACTTGTTCTAAGTCTAATTTTATGTCAAATCCAATTTAGTTATTGTTAAATCTAATTTAATTTCTTTTAAGTCTAATTTAAATAATGTTATGTCTAATTCAACTTGTTTCAAGTCTAAAAACAAGTTGAATTAGACTTAACATGAATCACGTTAAGTCTAATTCAACTTGTGTTAAGTCTAATTTTATTTTAAGTCCAATTTGATTTATGTTAAGTCCAATTTGGTTCATGTTAAGTCCAATTTGGTTCATGTTAAGTCTAATTTAATTCCTTTTAAGTCTAATTTATATTATTTTTTATCTAATTCAACTTATTTTAAGTCTAAAAACAAGTTGAATTAGACATAACATGAATCATGTTAAGTCTATTTTAACTTTTTAAGTCTAATTTCAATCATGTTAAATTCCTTTTAAGTCTAATTTAAATCATGTTAAGTCTACTTTAACTTTTTTAAGTCTAATTTCATGTTAAGTACAATTTAATTAGACTTAAAACAAGTTGAATTTGACATAATATGATTTAAATTAGACTTAAAATGAATTAAATTATACTTAATATGAATTAAATTGGACTTAACATGTAATTAGACTTAAAACAAGTTGAATTAGACTTAACATGAATTAAATTAGACTTGAAACAATTTGAATTAGACATAAGATTATTTAAATTTGATTTAAAAAGAATTAAATTAGACTTAACATGAATTAAATTGAACTTAATATGAAATTAAACTTTCATGTTAAATCTAATTCAACTTGATTTTAGACTTAACATGAAAAAATAGATGAGATAATGGTATTTTAGGGTTTTTTATTTTTTATTCTCTCTCTATACTTAGTTGGTAGGTAATAATTGCTAAAGAATGGCTGCATAATATAAATTTCCAATTTAAGGCCTAAAACACATGGAAAAAAGTCAAAGGGGTTGCAGCACATGAAGTTTTTGCTTTTAAGGTATTGACACAATTTTCCCTTTTTTGTTTGGAAAATAAAGAAGAATTAAATAAGGGGTAAGGGACTTAATCCTCCTTTTTTTTCTTAAAACAAGTGCCAATTTTGGCCTTATTGAATGCCCATTGTTCAACTCTTTTCTTTTTGGTTTAGTTGGTAATCAAATAGCAAAGTAGAAAAATACCTAAGCATGAAGATAAATGCACTCTATACATCATACCTGTAAAAGATATTTAGCTAACTATTAAATATCTTTTCCTCTGCAGAAGATAGCAAGAATTAAGCATCAATCCCAGTTTTATAATTATTGTCAATTTCAAGGACAATTCTTAGTCATCTTTGTCCTTATGCTTATTGTTGAAATGACTCATGGCAGATGACTGGATCATCTATTGAATTACCTGTTCTGTGAAGATCATAGCTACAATTAATCTCTATTGCTCAATTTTCTTGTTGTTTTAAAGAGGATTGTGCTATTTGCTCCAACATATACTTTGCTATATACATCTTTTGAACGAGATTGGGATGATGCCAAAAAAAAAAAAAAAAGCACACCGCCTTTGCCTTCTCTTGAGCTATACTTTTCATGAAAATAAAATCTTCTTTGTTGTACCGAAGGTTTAAAGCCGATGATATTTTTTTCTAAATTCCAATATTACCCCTGCGTGAGTGGAGGGCGTAACGTCTTGTTCCGCCTCATTAAATGGAATTTTTAATCCGTCTATGGACAGGTTAACTAGGGATCGATGAAAGCATCACGTGCGATCAAACAAATCTTAGGCTCCATTTGTAAAAGGGTTAAGGAAGAGGGGTTAAAAAGAAGAATTGATGTACTTAGCCCATTCGATAATCTGAATGGCTAAATTATTAATCTGTTAAATAAGTTTTATTTAATCATTGTGATCAATTTTAGTGTTTGGGAATAACAATGATTTTGACTATTTTCTGATAATCTGAAGGGCTAAATTATTAACATGTTAAATAAGTTTTATTTAGTCATTGTGATCAATTTTAGTGTTTGGAAATAACAATAATTTTGACTATTTTCTTTATAATTAGAAGGGTTAACTTTTAATCCTTCAAAATAGGAGTATTAGTAAACCCCTCATTTTAAGGGGTTAACTCATTTTAATCCATCTAGAGGGGTTAGCTTAACTCTTCTATATTTTTTTATGTTTGACAAATTATGAAGGGTTAACTCACTTTAACCATTGTATAAATTTTGTGTGTTTGGCGGGTTAAGAATGGATTAAATCTCCTTCTTAAAATGTTATAAATGGATTATATATGTGCATAACCCCAAAGTTAAGGGCCTTTTCTTTTCTGAAACTTATATATGCAAAAAGACAAGGAAGAAATATTATTGTGGAATTTGGCTCCTCTCTACTATAAGAAAATATTGGAGAGACTGTTACCTTTAATTATAATACATTCTAAATGTAACAAGTGTATTGTATTTATTTCTAATTTGCACTTAAAAAGAATCATAACTACCGATTAATGCTTATCATTAAATAGTAGTCTTTCAACCCTTTTTCTTTTTTTTACCGACTCAATTTTTTTATTTTATAGCGAAGAGTATCCGAATCCATTACTGTGACTTGAAGCCCCCCAATTTATTTATTATATACTGAGATTACAAACATCAGCTACACGCAGTCACACACGATGATGTGCTCACACATTAGTAGCTCCTCCTCTTCTTGATTTTACAGCGGGCTAAAGTACCTCATCTAAATAGTCCTCTGCCTCATCCTGCAGGTACCGGCTAAAGAAAAAAGAAAAGAAAATAAAAGTGAGGATTCAGAAGTGCTTGTGGGGGGAAATGCAGGGTTGTGATTAAAGTAGTATTCTCTACACTATTCTTGGTAACAGTGAGTTTCCGAATCTATTTAAATGCTTATTGGTCAAACATAGAAGATCGAATGTGACTTGAAGCCCCCCAATTTATTTATTATATACTGAGATTACAAACATCAGCTACACGCAGTCACACACGATGATGTGCTCACACGTTAGTAGCTTCTCCTCTTCTTGATTTTACAGCGGGCTAAAGTACCTCATCTAAATAGTCCTCTGCCTCATCCTGCAGGTACGAGGCTCCATCCCACAGATGGCCGGCAGGAACATCCCCCTCATCATCATCTCCCCGCACCGGCCTCCTCGGCACTCCTCCACCGACCCTTTCCCTTCTTGCTGCATTATCTCCCGCGTCATGCGTCTAACGGCAGGGCACCTGCACTCCTCCTTCACCCTCCTCAGCTGATTGCAGCACTCCTCCGGAGCCCCCTCGCCGTCGTCATCGTCCTCGTCGTCGACCATCATTATCTCGCCTTGGCTCCCGCCGCGTCGGCCCTGCTTCACAAAGGAGCGGCAGTACTTGTCAAGGGGGTGCCGACGCATCTCCCTCGTGCACGTGCTCTCCGAAGCATCCTCTTCGGATGTAAAGGCTGCGGCGGATGCGGCGAGGGCGAGGAGGAGGAAGAGGGTTATTGTGATGGGCTTCATTGTTAATTGTACAGACGATGGGTGAAGAGAGGAGAGGGGTTTGTGGGGGGTATTTGTAGGGAGGGGTGGGGTCTGGATGGAGAGCAGATGGAGCGCATGCAGGGGGTTTGAGGGTACACGTAGGAGAAGGGGGTGGGGGTTAGGGTCTTTGGAGGGTTGTGGAACTGAAAAGAGTTGGACTGGTTTGGGGAGGGTTGGGGCTCGGTGGAGGTTGCTTTTGAGAGGAGACGACATGGGAGGGAGCTTGGGTTGCCACGTGGCTTAAAGAACTGGGCTTTTAAAACTAGGGTTAACTAATAAGTGGGCTTTGTTATTATTAATAACTTAAGCATCGTTTGTAACTATACGGGAGAGGGAACCAGTAATATAGCTCAGTAACGGAGGACAAACAGGAGGCCGACCGAAGAAACGAAGAGGATTAATGAAGTGGCATGGGGATGGGTCATTTTAGCCTGAGTTGATATGGGATAAGGATCTCCTCAGATGTTAATTTAACACTTGGTAACGCCCAAGTAAGAGGAGCTGGAGTGCATAACATCCCCCATAGACTACGGCAATATGCTTGTACAAACTTCTAGTTCAACTCCTCCCGCATGCCCACAGAGTCATAGTCTCCATTTTATGCTAAAACTAAACTTTAATATATAGCTATTAGACGAACTTTCAGAACACGGAACTTAGATCATATAAACCACGTATATCTATCAAAACATATCTCAAAATCGCCAACTACGCCTTTGATTGAAAATGATTCAAATACATCTCAACAATCTTTTCCTGCGAAAAATCAGTATAATAGCCTTCTCCCGCAATCAACCCCTCTTCCCTCGCATGCCTCTCAACTTCCGCCTGAACCTGCGCTGCACCAACTCTGGTCGGGTCCAAGAGATTGCAAGCCACCTCAGCGGACTCCTCGCCATGGGCTAAGCCCATAGCCTGCACCGCTTCAAGCCCACCTCCTCGCTCGCTCACCCTTCTAGCAATCCTCTTCACTGCCTCAATGTCGGTAGATTGCACAGGTACATTGTAATTGTCAACCCATCTTGAGGCTCCAATGACAACGACGCCTTTGGCTTGAACAATTTGGTGTGGGCCCTCGTCGAGTTTCAGGTCTCTGAGGTCGGATTGGAGGCCACCAACCCATTGGTTTGCTGATGTGTTGGGTTTGAAGTAGCCTAGATCTCTTCTTATGGAGGCAAGTTTTCTGCCGTCATGGTGAGCTGCTCCGTATAAAAAGGTGGGGACTGCATTGAATGGTTCAATGGCAGATAATTACATATAGACACGGAGAAAAAGACTAAAATGGTTATTACCACATTGCTTGCTAAATAAAAATTAAGTAATTTCGTAATGATTTCACCAGCTTTAAGAATGATTTTTTATATCTAAGCTCTTTCTGGTCAAAATGAGATCATCTCTGTGAAAGATTTGATGAAATTTATGAATGTTATCAACTTGAAACAACCTCTTTTAACAAATGCCAAATTTACTTCAGGGAACAAGGATTTCTTTACGCTCATATGTTTCGAAATTTGGTTAAATCCTGCCGTCATGGAACCAGAGTGGCAGAACACAAGCCAAAACACGTCGAATATTTGCAAGCTAATATAGTTACCAGTCAATTATATGTGATGTATAAAATTTATGGATAATTAATCATTAATCTGACCTACAACATTTTTTAATAGCTCCAGCATGAACAAAACCTGTCTAGAGCAGAGAATGAAAAATCATCTCCAAAAAAATTTCTAAAATCATGTCCTCATGTAATATTTATTCTAGAAGTAAAGGAATACACACCTTGGAGCTTGTTACCGACATCAGCGGCAACAGATCTCGCAATCCCAGCAGCATGGTCCAATGAGGATTGAGCCAAAGGGTGAAAGCAAATATGGTCCACAACACCAAGTCGTGGATGAGTTCCTGAATGTAATTCAAGATCAATGGCCTCCACCGCTGCTTTAACCATGCTAAACACAGATTTCCTCAGCGGAGAAACATCATACAATGAGCTCGTAGTAGTACTAGAGCTTGCAACCAGAGTATAACCCACTCTGTTGTATACCTCATCTTTGAATGTGTTGACAATAACAGCTTCTGGGTAAAGCTTTGCAGCTTGCTCAATGGATTCTAGTGCACGGACATTTCGACTTTCAGAGATGTAGAGCTTGCAGCAGGTGAGCATAGACTTCAGCATTTAGCTTCCCTTGAGCCTCTGCTTTCATAGAAAAGAAAGATGCGCAGCAGAAAGAAACAACATTTCCCAATATCCAAATGTTATCTCTAAGAGGCTTGTGGCTGGTATTGCTCACATCATACCCACCCACCCACATATAAATAGCATTTATATCTTTTGATGCTTCCCTGATAGAAAAATTACTTTAGATGCTCAATTAACCAGAATAGACCAAATTCAGAAGTTTAAAAAAAAGTGAGATTATTAAAGCAGATACTAATTGCTTATTTTTGCCTGTAAAATTTGAGAACATTCGGCATAGGAACAAGTACCTCCCATATTAAGAAGCTAATACTACAACAATCTACCATCACAGAGCAAAGAGAAAGTAGAGATAACAAGAAGGTGTTGGATAGCAGTATTCCTAATCTATTTTGGTAACATGAGGTTATTAGAATTCCTAATCTATTTTGGTAACATGAGGTTATTAGGATTCCTAATTTGTTTTGTTTTTTGTTTTAGGATTTCTAGTCTGTTTTGGTTTTAGTTTTCTATATATATGGAGATTAGAATCAATGATCAAAAGAGAGGAGAGTTGTGATCAGAGATTAGAGAGACTTTTGAGCATTGTGAGAGGGAGATATTGTGAGCAAGCTGAGAGTTTTGGTTGAGGATTAGTTTGTGATTTTTGTGAGATTGTAACCATTTGTACTCTCCTTGATTTAGTGGAATCTCTCCATCCTCTCCCCGTGGACGTAGGCAATTTGCCGAATCACGTAAAATTGGTTGTCTCGTTATTTGTGTGATTTATAATAGCTTATTTAGGTTCCCTCGACAGGTCAGTCCTAGAACCGATGAAAGGAAGAGCTGATATCTCACTTGGTTGAGATATTTTGCTTAAAGTTTTTATTTTTTTGGTGAAACAGGAATTCCTATTGCGACCTAACTCTCTTGTTGTGCTGCCGAAGTGTTGCTGAAATTTTCGCTGCGCGCAACAAGTGGTATCAGAGCCCAGATTTCAGATCTAGGGTTTTGGAATTAGGTGGAGAGAGATTCTTGTGTGAAGCTTGGTTCTTGGAGTTCTTGGCTTCGGTGGAGATAGCATTAGGAGTTGCTGTTGGAGATTTCGCTTTCCTCGTGTGGACAGGAAATCTATTTAGAATCCAATCTATGGTTCAGTTGGGTAATTCTTAATTTCTATCAAAGTTTGATTTTTTTTTCTCTACAACTTGGAGTTAGTTTGCAATGGGAGAAGAAGGTGAAAGCAGCAAGTCGATGGCGAGTACAGTTCAAGTTGGTTTTCAGAACATCAAAATTAGTGTGGTGAAGTATAACGGTAAAATCAACTTTAGCTTGTGGATGAGCGACATACAGGATGCGCTCAATGCTCAGAAATTGGAAGAGACCATCATGGTCCACGAAAGACCACCAAAATATAAAGAGACGATATGAGAAAAGATGAATAGGAATGCTTGTGGGGTGATCAGGTCCTGTTTGGAACAGGATGATGTGATTGGGATGACGTCTGCGATGAAGATATGAAAAATTCTCAACAATAAGTACCTTACGAAGAGTGTTGAGAATAAGTTGCATTTACTGCGTAGGTTATTCAGATTCCAGATGTCCAGAGGCACCTCGCTTGCGGCTCATGTGAACAACTATACGAAGTTATTGTCGGACTTGACGAATGTTGATGAGAAGATTTTGGATGAGTACAAGACTATTATCTTATTAGGCTTTTTATCGGATGAGGAGTATGACACATTTATGCTCACTTTGTTTAACATAAGATCTTCTATCAGCTATAGTAAAGTTACTAATGCATTGACAAATTATGATTTGAGAAGGAAGGACAATGAGACTTCCCGTGTTAGTACTTCAGGCGAGGCCTTGTCGACGAGATGTAGAAGCCCATATCCGAAAGGTGATAATAGAGGGAGGTCAAAGTCAAGAAGCCGCCATCAATTAGCAAAGAACCAATGTGCATTCTGTAAGGAGCAGAGATATTGAAAGAGAGACTGTCCGAAACTCAATGAGGAGGAGAATGGCAAGAAAAAGGGCCCGAAGGCCAATAAGGTGAATATTGTGAAAGACGATGATTCTGATGATTCGAGCTTTTCTCTACTGATTACTCCGGAGGTGAACCACTTGGATGCATCAGAGCTTTTCTCTACTGATTACTCCGGAGGTGAACCACTTGGATGCATCAGATTGGATGCTTGATTCCGATGCTACCTACGGAGGTGAACCACTTGGATGCATCAGATTGGATGCTTGATTCCGATGCTACCTATCATGTGACCCCTAGACGAGATTGGTTTGCATCTTTTGAGAAGCTCGATGGAGAAGTTGTAGTCATGGAAAATGATCAATCCTATGGCATTTGTGGGTTAAGTACCGTGCGAATTCGGATGCACGATGCAGTAGTCCGTGAATTGAAGGAGGTGAGATTTGTTTCTCAGCTGAAAAAAAATCTTATCTCAGTTAGAGCTTTGGAGACAAATGAATTCAAGGTGACCTTTGAAAATGTTGTAGCGAAAGTTACTAAGGGATCTTTGGTGGTGATGAAGAGAGTCCGCAGTCGAAACCTATATTATCTGAAGGGGAACACCAAGATTGACCAGGTAACTTCAGCTATTTCAGAGGTGGACATGAGTAGGCTTTGATATTACAGGTTAGGACACACACGTGAGAAGTCACTGCAGGCGTTGTGCAAGCAGGGACTATTGAAGGGAGCCAAGAGTGAAAAAATGAAATTCTGTGAGCACTGTGTTCTTGGCAAGAAGACCAATGTGAAGTTCGGGACGGCCATTCATAGGACGAGGAGCATCCTGGATACGTGCACACAGATGTTTGGGGTCCCACCAAAACTGCATCACTTGGTGGTCGATATTGGTTCGTCACGTTCGTAAATGACTATTCTAGATGTTGTTGGATGTACACCATGAAGCATAAGAATGAAGTCCTAGATTTATTTGTGGAGTGGAAGAAGAGATTAGAACTACAGATTGAGAGAATGATCAAGACGTTGCGATCCGATAACGGTAGTGAATATACTTCAGACCCTTTTCTGCAGCTATGTCGAGACGAGGACATAGAGAGGCACTTCACGGTTAGTCATACACTGCAGTAAAATGGGGTTGCAGAGAGGTTAAATCGGTTTTTGTTGGAAAAGGTCTGATGCTTATTGGCGCAAAGTGGTTTGGAGAAGATCTTTTGGGCTGAGGCACTTTCATATGTGAGCTACCTCATTAATAGGCTGCCTTCATTTGCGGTTGAGGAAAAAACCCTATGGAAATGTGGTCGGGAAAGACAGCACGTGACTATGACCAGCTCAAGGTATTTGGTTGCCCTGTATATTATCATGTTAGAACTGATAAGTTAGAACCTCGAGCTAGGAATACCATATTTGTAGGATTCAAACGTGGTGTCAAAGGATACAAGCTTTGGGATCCAATTGATAAAAAAATTATGTTGAGTCAGGACATCACGTTCGATGAGGCTTCTGTCTTGAAGCTTCACAGCTCTCATCAGGTGGAGAGCGACCCGACAGAGGAGATATCGTAGGTGATGGAGATCGATGCAGCTCCACAGTATCTAGATGATACAGTATTCATTAGAGTACCGACTGAGGTGACGCCAGACGAGCACGAATGTGACACGAAGGATACGAGTACTGATGTGCAGGATCAGGGACCGACGGTTCAGGTTTAGGATTCTATTACGATTCGGAGACAGAGGAGAGACATATGGATGCCAGCACGATATGCCGACACAGTTGCGTATGCACCTCCAGTGAAGAATATCGATGAGATGGTGCCTACTATATTCAGAGAGATCGAGCAGAGTTCGAAGGCTGATTCGTGGCAGGTAGCTATGCAGGAGGAGATGGAGTCTCTTCACAAGAATGATACGTGGGAGCTTGTTGAGCTTCCAAAGGAGCGGAAAGTAATTGGTTACAAGTGGGTATACACGAAGAAAGAGGGCATTAAGGACACTCCGTTGAGATTCAAGGCTAGGTTGGTTGCGAAGGGTTATGCACAGGAGAAATGTATTGACTATAATGAGATTTTCTCTCCGGTGATAAAGTACTCTTCGATTCGGATTTTGCTAGTTTTAATGGCACAGTATGGGTTGGAGTTAGATCAATTGGATGTGAAGACGGTATTTCTTCATGGTAATCTTGATGAAAAAATATATGACTCAGTCATTAGGATTCCGAGCTGCAGGGAAAGAAAATTTGGTTTGCAGATTAAAAAAATCGTTATACGGTTTAAAACAGTCTCCTCGACAGTGGTATAAATGATTCGATGGTTTTATGATTGGTCATTCGTACACTCGGAGCCAGTTTGATCCTTGCATATATTTTCGTAAGTTGAAAGGATGTGTGTACATCTATTTGTTACTTTATGTCGATGATATGTTGGTTGCCTCTATTTCCAGATCTGCTATAGATGAGTTGAAGACACAACTTTCAAAGAAGTTTGAGATAAAGGATTTGGGTGAGGCGAAGCGTATTTTAGGGATGGAGATCGACCGAGACAAGAAGGGTAAAATTTGTTTGACACAGGTGGCTTATTTAAAAAATATTCTACAGCGATTTTATGTTAGCATGGATACGAAGCCAGTTAGCGTACCATTAGGAGCCCATTTAAAGCTTCCAGCTGATCTTTCAACGAAGATAGTTAAAGATCGAGAGTTGATGTCGAAGACGCCATATACGAGCGCGGTTGAGAGCTTGATGTATGCGATGGTATGTACGAGGTCGGACTTATCACAGGCGGTGAGCATGATTTCGAGATACATGCACGATCCAGGAGTGGGTCATTGGGACGTCGTGAGATGGATTTTGAGGTACATTCGAGGTACGCTCAATGTTGGTTTGGTTTATGAACGGGACACTACAGGTGGGTAGCTATGCATTAGTTATGTTGATTCGAATACCGGGGATTAAGATAAGCACCGGTCTACGACTGGTATGTGTTTACTTTGACCCATACGCCGGTGTGTTGGAGATGTACTTTACAGTCTACGGTGGCTTTGTCTACGACGGAGGTAAAGTATATGACAGTTACGGAGACTGTGAATGAGGCTATTTGGCTTCGAAGACTTTTGGAGGAACTTGGTATATCACAGCGGTCTGTCACTATTCATGCGAGGACGAAGCATATTGACGTTCGTTATCACTTTGATCGAGATGTTATTAAAGATGGCGATGTGAAGATTGTGAAAGTCCACACAAAAGATAATCCGGCGGATATGCTCACTAAAATGGTTTCGAGCAATAAATTTGATCATTGTCGAAACTTGTTACACATTCGTGATTGTTGAGGCCGTTGACGGCCATTTGGATAAACTACGGACGACTTGATCCCTTGGGAAAGGGGGTACGTAGACAATCATATTGGTGCAGTCGAATTTGGTGAGACGACGCATTGGTGTTAATGTTGGTGTCGGCTCAGTTTTGAGAATACGTCGCCGAGGTAGAGAATTATTGGATAGCAGTATTCCTAATCTATTTTGGTAACATGAGGTTATTAGGATTCCTAATATATTTTTATAACATGAGGTTATTAGGAGTCCTAATTTGTTTTGTTTTTTATTTTAGGATTCCTAGTCTGTTTTGGTTTTAGTTTTCTATATATATGGAGATTAGAATCAATAATCAAAAGAGAGGAGAGTTGTAATCAGAGATTAGAGAGACTTTTGTGCATTGTGAGAGGGAGATATTGTGAGCAAGTTGAGAGCTTTGGTTGAGCATTATTTTGTGAGTTTTGTGAGATTGTAATCATTTGTACTCTTTTTGATGTAGTAGAATCTCCTCATAGGCAATTTGCCGAACCACGTAAAATTGATTGTCTCGTTATTTGTGTGATTTGTAATAGCTTATTTAGGTTCCCTCGACAGGTCAGTCCTAGAACCGATGAGATGAAGAACTGATATCTCACTTGGTTGAGATATTTTGCTTAAGGTTCTTGTTTCCTTGGTGAAACATGAATTCCTATTGCGACCTGACTCTCTTATTGTGCTGCCGAAGTGCTGCCGAAATTTCCGCTGCACGCAACATAAGGAAGCTTCACTATGACACATCCTCATATAACGCAATTGCAGGTAAAGAATAAAGATAATGATTTCAGATGAATGAAGCCACTTGTTATCGTTTCACAGAAACTGAAGGAAAAAGAAGTATAAAAGACCTGTAAATTTAATCCAGAAATATAATTATTTATTAGGAAAGTATGTTACCCAAGAAGTCAAGCATAACCAGCAATTCCTTGACAAATAATTACGCAATGTATCATTAAGTTTTTTTACTTGAGAACAAAGGTGATAAGAGAAAATCATGCAATTAGAGGAAAAAGTGACAAGCGGAGGCATAAAAGGTAAAAGAAAATATTGAAAACCATTCAAGTACCTTAACTAACAACACCATTCATTGGAGCTGCTTGTTATAATACAGAAATTTCTCCAGAAGGTGTTTGGAGAAAATGTAATAACCCTGAACAAGTCCAATTTCATGCATCTAAAAGTCAAGTATCACATACTTGACTCGCTGTCTGCTCTGTGCATTTGAAAATAAAAAGTATAGAGAAGTTAGCTATGGTACATTAAGCTTATCAGCTCTGAATCACTGTCTTCTGTTGCATCAGAAGATCATTTCACACCACCATACAGAAGCATTTTATCCTCTCAACAAGAAATTTTGGGCAGTAAGAAAGCGCAATCTTTTTTAAGTTTGTCCTGATAGATACGTAACATGTGTGTGCATATGTATTTAAACAGTCAAAACCATCATAATGTCCATATATGAACCACATAAGTGAAGGGCAAGCGGGACATGTAAACAAGGTTAATGAAAAGACCAAACATTTGATGTCTTAAACCTAACAGATGTATTGTTACAAGTTGAATGAGTACAGATATTCCAATGGAGCAACCATCCAAGAAGTAAACAAGCACAAAATAATATATACAGCACAATGAGACGGAAAATTGTCATTTATATTAGTACAAAAAGCAATCAGTTTATAAAAATTAAAGACGTAGTCTCAACAGGGTGCTGGCATCTTTCAGTAACACATCTGCGATCAACTAACTTATCTCACTACATAACATTCTCACTGCTGATACTTAGAAGGAAAAGCAAAGCAAAGAATCACACACAAGGTAACATAACCCAAATTCAATCTAGATGATAATATTCTATATCAAAGATGACGTAGGAATTCTCAAAAGCAAACCCAACATTATGAAACGTAAAGTTGTGACTCACTGTCCAAAATCTGGAAGGAATTGATATATTCCAATTAGCTATAAACCGAGAAATAAGACAGTGGAAAAACACTAAGTCCTCATGGTTTATTCTTCAGAATATAAAGGGAAAATACACTCGATGCCATCTGATGTTACCACGAAATCTGGCTCTTTAGAAATTAAATATCTTCCATCTCCAGTTTTGATGATTTCGGGTACCCTTCATACTCTAACTTCACCCCCAAATTCGCTAATATAAGTCTAAACTTTAGCCTGATAGTATCCATCATTTCCTGAATCCTTTCATTTTCTGGTTCCAGACGGGGATACTCGCCCACCAACTCTCCCAGTTGCTCAATGCTCTTCTTGATGCGCAATGAGAAAGATCCAGAATCAACACGAATCACCGATTTCCATACATCGACACATCCACGATAGAAACCAAGTTCTTCCCCAATTTGAAACCCTAATTTTAAGCCCACCCCCCTCCCTTCCTCGTTTCCTGATATCAAGCCATCGCTATAACCATCTCTATAGCCTTCATTGTACTGGGTTTCATCTAAAAGGACTGTATATTCGAGAAAATCATCTGGGCCTGTAGGTTTTGGCTCCATCTTCACAATACCAACAGAGTTTTCGTGATCAGAATTAAGCCTGTATTAAGAGATGGAGGAAAACCCCCCCAATATAATTTTAACACAATCATCTTGATATTGATATAGCACCCTCTAATGAAAGGCTTTCGCTCTCTAGAAACTCTAGTAGATGTTGATTATAAGCATAATCAATGACGGAGGTATCTCAATCCAAAGCGTTCCAACTATAAATTAAATCTAATTAATAGCTAAAATTGACAGAAAAATAAAAGAAAATCACCTACAACTGAGGCGGTCGGAGTCGTTGGCGGATCCAATCGGCGGCAGAAAGAAACACAAAACAAACAGCAGGTCCTTTTCTATCTTCTAGAGCTGTCAAAAAAGAGAATAATTAGTATAAATCCGAAATAAAAAGAGTTAGACTGAATTTGGGTTTGTTTGGATTGAGGGGAATGAGGGTGAAGGGAAGTTAGGGGAACCATTCACCTTCATTCACCTTGTTTGGGAACACTTAGGAGGTGAAGTTAACTCACCCTAGTTTCCCTTGGTTCACCCCTAATAGTATAAAAATTGTTACCCCCTAAATTGGGGTGTAACCAAGGGGAAGGGAACTCTCTTCCCTTCACTCAGTTTTCCTTAACTTCCCTTCACCCCCTACAAATCCAAACAAGCCCTAAGATGACTCGTCTATTGTCCTGGTGTAGTCGATTCGTTCTCTCTAGCAGTAAAAACCCCCAAAAACGGTCGTACTCGAGCGAGAATAGTAAAGTTTCTGTCCAGACGAAGACGATGGTTGCCCAGAAAATAAAATAATAGCCGAAAACAAGTAAAACTGGTTGTCAAATGGCACATAACTGGGCCATTTTACGGCCATATACGGACATAACTGGGCCTTGTAACTCAAGTCGCCCATTTAAACAGCTTCCATCGAAGACCATTATGAAAAACAAAAGCGCAGCTGCAGATCTCGCGGAGTAGACATTAAGCGCTCCTTTAAGATTATGCTCCAGCTTTTTCCTGATATGCCGTTCTTCCGTATGAACAAATCCCAACCGTTGTTTACTACAGTTTCCTTCAGTGGCATTCTTGGTAGACTCAAGTTAACATTACTGATAGATTTACTTTAATCAGGCATCTTTCCTGTGCCAATTTCTATCTAGTAGCAGGTTCCTTTTGTCACTCGTTGTGCCCTCTTTGTGTTTGGGTTAACACCCATATGAGTCTTTCATTCTTTAAATGATCCGCATTGGCTTAACCCACGATTTTATTTCTGATTTTTTGAGTAAGTAGTGGGAATCGTAACTAATTTCTTTGCATTTGCGAGAAAATGGGCAGTTATATTAGAGGAGAAAGTATCCAGTGAAGACGGACCATGACATTTAATGTGCACCTAAAAGGTATCAAGATTAAGTATTCTTTGAGAGAAAGAGTATCCAGTAAAAACGATCCATGACATTAAATGTTCAACTAAAAAAGAATAATTTTTCAAAACAGACTCATTCGGATTTTTATTTTTCAAAATCGACCGTTTTTTCTTTTTTTTATCAAAACCGACCGGATTTTGTGATTAGCAGGTTAATCACTATCCTAAATAGTCGGGGTTGCCAACCCCGACTATTTAGGAGGGTGTTAAACCCTAATTAAAGGCCTTAATTAGGGTTTAACACCCTCCTAAATAGTCGGGGTTGGCAACCCCGACTATTTAGGATAGTGATTAATCTGCTAATCACAAAATCCGGTCGGTTTTGATAAATAAAAGAAAAAACGGTCGATTTTGAAAAATAAAAATCCGAATGAGTCTGTTTTGAAAAATTGTTCACTAAAAAATATCAAGATTACGTATTCTGAGAGAGAGGGGGGAGAGAAGAAATTCTTGATTGTGGCACTCATTTCCTACAATAGGCTCTTTTTTATTTGTTATGTATCCTTCATTCATATTAGGCAAGAATCGAATTCAATATAATATGTTTGGGAGAGTGAAAGTTTATCGATTTCACCGAACCATTTTGGATTTCAATTTTAAAGTTTGGTATTTGGAAAGGCATATGGGTAAAGTTGGAATTGGTTCTTGAATAATGTTGGCTTGAACCTGGATTTTTTAAAGGATTTCGATTAGGCATTTAGACCTATTCTTCAGGCTGACTTCTGCCTTCCAGACACCAAATAAGTTTTATTGAGCAGGAAGTGATATGGTAATTTTCTCCAAACCTATCAGGTTTCATTTGTATTGAGACCTCTCGATGTCGAAATTAACATGATTTTATCTCAATAGTAACTTCTGCTATACTAAATTATTGTTAGGATTAATGAAAGTTCCTAGACATGAGCTCAACTAGAGTGATAAAAAAAGAGGAAAGAAACATACACACAAGTGAGTAAAGGATTTACATGGTTCGGCTTCTATGCCTACGTCCACGGGCAAAGATAGCAAGATATCCACTAATGGAAATCGGGATATTATTACAAGAGTATCACTCTCACTCAAACCCACAAGAAACCCAAATTACATCCTAATCTCACACTTTGCAGACGGAGAAGAGCAAACTCTCACTACACTTTGCTCACGTGGGATGCTCCGCCATTGGTTGAAACACCTCCATTTATATGCTCCAAGCATGCGATTGTTAAAGCATAGCATATCACCTATCAATCTTGAATAAGAGGGCTATCTCATAGCCGGAGGGGATTTTGCATGGGTGAATAAAGGCGCTACTACATAGCCTTTGGGGGGGTATTCAAATGAACGCACCTAATGCATTTGAGGCTATGTTTCTTCACATGGCCAACGAGCCACTTTATTTGACTTTCATGGTGTGGATTCAAGACCACACTCATGTTGGGGTTAATCTATCGACAACATGTCAAAGAACTTCCGTGCAACGTGTCGTCCGGATCTTGTGACGAACAATTAGCAAGCAAGAAATCACAGCAAAACGAAAAACTTTTTAGGAAAGAACAAATAAAATGAGAGAACACCAGATTTAACGAGGTTCGGCAAATGTGCTTACGTCCTCGGAAGCCACACTAGAAATTCTTTGATTATTGAAGAAGATTACAAGCTTGCAAAAAGGCTATCACTCTCTCTGAGATCTCTCTCTCAAAGTATTCTCAAAACCCTCTCTTTTTCGTGTACAAATCCTCACAAAATCGTTCAGGATATATATATAACCCTAACTCAAAATAGATTCCCAACTGAATCAGGAAACAGGATGACTCGATATCGGTCGACTGATGCACTTGCATCGGACGACTGATAAGGGGTTTCTCGGCTGCTTCGTGCAAGTTGTCGGTCGACTAGTGGCACCCCGCTAGTCGACTGACCAAAGAGATGTTTTCCAGCTTCTTTCCTACAGTCGAATCGGTTGACTGATCTGCTTCTTCGGTCAACTGATCAAGGTATTTTTCAGCTTCTGATTTTGTTCTTAGGTTTGGGTCTATACACCTCAAAACCAACAATCTCCCACTTGGAGACCAAACCTCCATCAACAAGCTCTCTTGAACTCCAACCATCTTCGCAAGCACCTTCTCCTCCCCGAAAAATTTCATTCTTCAATCAATATCAATCTTGGTGATCCTACCTGTCCTCCTAGTGTGGCTCTGTAGTCATCTCCTATGTATGAAGGCCAACTGAAGTTACATACAATTCCAGTTTCTTAATGTTTCCTACCTTTGTCAACATATTTGTAGGATTTTGGTTTCCGAAGATTTTCCCCAATAGTAATTTTCTGCCCTCTATCAGCGATTATATGAAGTGGTAACGCACGTCGATGTGCTTTGTTCTGACATGATAAACTGGGTTCTTGGCAAGGTGTATAGCATTCTGGCTATCACAATAAAAAACTTTGTTCCCCGTTTCAGACCAACTCTTCCAGACATCCAGTCAACCAAATCATCTCCTTGCTAGCTTCAGTTACTATGACATACTTTGCCTCAGTCGTGGACAACGTCACTATCTTCTGCAAACGTGAGACCCAGCTCACTGCTGTCGACCCTAAAGTAAAAACATATACTGTGGTACTTCGCCTTGTATCATGATCACTGGCAAAGTCTGTATTCACATTTCCCTGCAGTGCTAATTCTTTTCTCCTAAAACACAGTGACATATCTTTAGTCCCTCTCAAGTATCAGTATCCACTTCACGGCCTCCTAATGCTGCTTCCCTAGATTGCTGACAAACCTACTCACAACTCCCACTACATGGGCAATACCCGGCCTCGTGCAAACTATCACATACATAAGACTACTAATGGATGATGAGTATGGCACTCTATTCATGAACTCCTTCTCTGCATCAATCTTGGATGATTGCTCCTCAGATAACCTGAACTGACTTCTAAGGGGCGTGCCAACGGCATTTGCATTCTGCATGTTGAATCTTTGAAGTACCTTGTAGGCATCGAAAATTGCCTATAGGTCTCCACGAACAGCTCAGTGTTAATAAATGACGATGAACATCACCATCTGGTTCACAGAAGCTTGATTGATGTCGGCGAACGCTTGAAGTAAACCGACGAACTACGTGAACTAACAGAATTCCGGAATAACAAATGAACGGACTAATCGGGCACCTCGTGTCGTTCACAAACGGTGAAATACCCGTCATGTCTCATTTATCCCACAGATGATCTAATCATTTAAGCTTATAGAACTCTTCGTCGGCTTTCCAACGCACTTCGAATCGCTCAAATCCGAGTTCGGACGAAGAAGTTACGGAGGAAACGCGGAAACGGACGAACAGGCATAATGGAGTGTCTCAGACTGAACTGGGGCACACGAGGTGTCTCGGCACGAGCGAGACACCCTAAGGTGTCTCGGCCAAGGCCGAGACACCCTAGGGTGTCTCGGCCCAGGCTCGGCCCAGTTTGAGACACCCTGGGGTGTCTCCAATGCAGAAATAGCCTTTTAGGCGGTTTTAACCGTCCGGACATCCGTAAAGCTTATAAATAGAGCCCCCGGGTCCTCATTTTTTGAGATCTGGAATTTTGGAAGATTAGGCGAAGCCCTGCCGGATTGAAGACTGAAGGTGCACGGATTTCAGAGAGGAGGAGGAGAGATCGGATCGAGTTCTTCAACGCAAGAGAGAGAGATTCGTCAGATCTACAGTTTCCCGGATCCGTTCCTTAGGATTATCCCGTTACGGTAATCTTAAGAAGAGTGATTATCTCGCTTCGCCGAGATAAGAGCTACGGTTTTCTCGATCCCTTCGCGGTAGACGAAGCTCTGCCCAATTTTTCAGCAATCAGATCTGATCGACGGTGGTCCACGGATACACCCCGACACAGGCAAAGATCCCACGCAAGCAGAAGACCGATAAACGATCTCTGCGTTTGTTTGATAAAGTTGTAAATTTTTTATTTTCATTGTGTAAAGAGATCTTATAAAAAGATCAACTTTTTTTATTTAATTCGAGTTTATTGTAACGACTAAAGTTGTAATAGATTCGATAACAATGGAAATATCAACTTTCACCGCAAACAAACTGGCGACCACAGTGGGAGACAATAGCCTCGCTGCCGAGGCTGTCGTGCCGTAGCTAACGATCAAGATCCCAGTGCTCGAAGAGGTCGAATACGAGTTCGACCAGCAGAAGTTCGAGGAATATGTCTCCTCCTCCTCCTCCAGATCTGCCTCTCCTAGCAGGTGCAGGAAAGCCTCCTCCTCCAGGAAGATCCGCTGGTCTTCAGGTCTGAAGACCCAAGAAGACGATCTCTCCGCCGTCGCTGTTGTAGTTACCCCTCGCAACGATCCGCCGGCTTCCAAAGAAACTAGATCCAACGTTCGTGACAACTCCTCGAAAGTCAAGGAGTTGCCCGTTGAAAGTGCACCAGTGTTGACGAAGAGGGCTTGTCAAAGGCGCCGTCAACGTCTCTCGCGTCAATTTGCCGAGGTTTTGAAGCCTGTTGACGGGATCTGCTATGATGCGGATCTGAAGCTCAGAAGGCGCAAAGCGTCCCAGCAACAAGCTTTGGGAACCTCCTCCCAACCACCTACTAATGAATGGGTTCGTGTCAAACGAAACCGTTCAACTCTTGAGGAGCGCATCCA